TGTATTAATAATGATGTGGTGGCGGTGGAGTGGTGTTTGACGTAGCAGCAACGACAGTGGTAGAGTGGTAGTTATGATGGTGGATTGGTGGTGGTGGTGGTGGAGTGGTGGTGGCGGTGGAGTGGTGGTGGCGGTGGAGTGGTGGTGGCGGTGCGATTGGTGGCGGCGGCAGTGTGTTTGGTGGTGGTAGTTTTTAATTACATTACATATTTACAAACAAACATGAAAATATAATGATGATTATATTTCATAAAATTTCTCAATTATATTATGAAACATAGTAATGAAATCTTAATTAAATTCCATTCCATTATAATTATCATTACATTATATCTTTGATTACATTACATCCAGCCAAATATAGCCTAAGGTTATATTTGGTTTAATATGATCAATTATGTAATGCAATAAAAATTATATTACATGGTTGATTGTTATGTTTGGATAAAATTTTTTTACTCCTTAACGTAATGAGTATTACAAGCGTGTTTATCATTATTTAAAATAATGTAACAGTCATTGCCATCCAAAACCTATATAATGGCCATTCCATTATTATCCTAAAAAATTGAACCTTAACTGAACTTAACCTCAAACTCGCTATCACCACTAGTACCGCCACCACTCCACCACCACCTCCTCAACCACCAATACAACCACTCCATCACCATCACCATCACCACCACTCAACCGCGACTCCACTATCACCAGCACCATCACCAGCACCACCACTTCACCATTATCATCACCTCATTATTAATACAAAAGAAATATTTGAATCAAAAGCTATTCATTATATCAAGCTATTAAAGACCATTTAGATTTATAATTTTATTTAGCCGTAAAAATATAATGTAATAAAATAAAATTTAAAATTCATTAGAAATTAATTCTTTTACATGTAATTCATATATTTAGTTGTTGTGGTGGCATACTAATTTACATTATATATTTACAAACAAAAATAGTAATGAAATGCTAATTACATTCCATAAATTTTTCAAATACATGACCAAATATAGTAATGAAACATTAGTTACATTCCATTACAATACATTTTTTATTGTATTATATCTTAGATTATATTACATTGCATTACATCCAACTAAGCATAACCTAAGGCTACATTCAATTTAATGTAATCAACTATGTAACGGAATAAAGATTACATTATATAGTTGATTGAGATGTTTGGATGAATTTTTTTCGTACTCCATAATGTAATGAATATTATAATTGTATTTACCATTACTCAAAACAATGTAATAACCATTCCATCCAAATATCAATGAGATCATCATTCCATTATAATCTCTCAAAAGTTAAACTCTAACCAAATTCCATCTAAAACTCTATCGTTCCACCAATACCACTCTACCACCACCACCTCTCTCTCTCTCTCTCTCTCTCCACCAACATCCCCCCCCCCCCCCCCGAAAGATCATTTCATTTCTCCTTATTATAATCATCTCCAAAAGCTCACACTCTAACCAATTTCCATTCTAAAAACTCTATTCGATTCCACCCAATACCACTCTAACACACCACCAACCTCTCTCTCTCTCTCTCCTCTGCACACCAACATCCCCCTCCCCCCCACAACCTCCATCTTGCCTCAGCCTTTACAAGACTACATTTTCTCACTCCTTGGATTATGATGGCCCAAGGCTTATAACATCTCACGCAGTCCCAAAACTGATGCTGCACGCATTGTCTACTAGAAACATAACCCAAGGACTTGGCCCATTTTTAGACCGGACAACGATGCTTTTAGCATGCCCCCCCCCCCCCACAACCTCCCATCTTCCTCACCTTTACCGACTACATTTTCTATCCTTGGATTGATGGCCCAAGGCTTATACATCCACGCAGTCCCAAACTGATGTGCATTGTCTATAGAAACATAACCCAAGGACTTGGCCCATTTTAGACCGAACGATGCTTTTAGCATGCTCAATTGGACCATCTGGAATTTGTGAAGATATTGGATAGCAACAATGCCCCTAAAATCAACCGATAAGCCTAGCACGAAGGATAAAGCAAAAATGACTAATGCCTTAATAATCCAAACATCGAACGCCTCAAAAAACTCGATCAATATCTTTCCTCTGAGGATGGATGAGTCAGTCAGTTCGACCAGGTTCATTATCAAGAGCCTGGATCAGATCGGTAAGTTTTTCAAGACAGTCCATTGATATTGCTACCAACTCTATCATGCATCAATCCAAAAACATACTTTTTTAAAAAAATTTAGTTATTTAGGTCTATTTAGTTTATTTCGTAGAAAATTGATTAGGGACCAATTAACTAAATTCAAGAATAAAAACTAAATGGGATTAATTTTACGAGATAATCCAATAAAATTAAGCAAACAAAACAACATTGATTTAGTTTGATTTTCCAATTAAATCTGAAATATGATCGTCCTAGCTTACAGTGTGAAGATTTGAATGGTCCAATTAAGTATTTCGTCCCACTCTCTCATCTCTGTGTCTTCAAGGCATCAAAATTCTCTTTTTTTCTTTTTAGGGCTAATCTACAAAAATACCCAAAATTTTGAGCCTTGTTACAATACCACTCTAAACTGACTTTTATATACTCTTTGTACCGTTGGACATTGCTATTTTGAAATATAGATATAATAGCACTCAAAAAATAATTTAGAGTTATAATTATGAATAAAAAAAATAATATTGTGAGCCCCACTTCTCAACCTTATGTTAACTTAACCCAACCAGTTAACTCATCATTTTTATCACAAACATCACAAACCTCTCTCTTTCCTCTCCCTTTGTCTGCTTCTTCCTCATTATCGACGACACCAACTCCGATCCAGTTTCAAAGTGCACAATCTTAGACCAACAATATATGCTCAACCAAGCAAAAGAAGACTAAACAATATGTTCAACCTTTACAAATATTCAGCTCTTCGCACTGGTGACAAAAACCTTAAAACCCCAAATTTGGTTTCCCATATATGCAATGCTCTGAATGGCTTACATCAAGGGAAATATATGGGTAAGCAATTAATCTTTTTAAACATTCGGAAACCATAACCTTTCTTTCTATCAACATAATCTTTGAAAGTTGCATCTAATGAAAATTCTTATTTATTTAGAACATTCTTCTGCTATGCCAAAAGGGGAAACAAAATTCTTTCAAGCATTATGCAAATTGCAGTTACATGTAAGCAATTAAATAAAATGAACTATATAATCCTTAATATATAATTAGACATATAAAGATGCGTAATAGCAAAATACCCAAGGGAAAAGCAATAAAGCAAAGGAAGTACATGAACAGCACAGATAATGAAAAAGAAGGAGAGAGAAAGAGATGGGTAACCAAGGTTTATTATAAAACGGTGAGTTTTGATGCCTTACCTTAAGGTAACCAAAATTGAGAAGTGAAACCCACAATATTATTATTTTATTCACAATTCTAACTATAAATTAGTTTTGAATGTTAATATATCTATGTTTCAAAATAAAAATTTCTAAAATACAAAATTAATTTAGAGTAATTTAACCACAAATCGTTTAAAATATTTTTATAGATTAGGCCTCTTTTTGCTCTGTTCGTTTTTGTTATCATACGTTCACTCTCCAAAGAATGTTCATCACGGCTTTGTAAAATCATTACTGTCCTCAGAAGTCATAGCTTTTGTTTAGATGAAGAGTCATGTGATTTTAATCAAAAGTCTGTCTCGAAAAGGTCCTTTTCTTTCTTTTTCTTTTTCTTTTTTTTTTTTTCCTTTTTTGGTTGGTACTTGTTGCTGGTTGTTGCTCTCACATCAGAGGACAAATATACATTGATTCTAAAAAGTAAAACGTTTGTAGAAATTGATTTTTTTTTCTTTTTATCTTTTCTAATTGAAGAAATTGATATTTTTTAAGTATTATTTTAAGTGACAGCCCGATTTTTTTTAACTAAAAGGTGTTAATTTATTTTAGATCCCATTGGACAAAATTAATTGCTTTTAATTATTCTAATAGCTATCCACTGATTTCTCTATCATTTTATAATCCTCGAAATACTAAATATTAAATAAAAAATTATTAGTGAACGTGATATTAGGTTCTAAAGAACAAAAAATTTTAAATTTGCAAAAGATAAAATGAGTTAATTATATTAAAACGAAATAAATTTGAATCTTTACAAAAAATTTGGATTTTTTACTGTAGCAATCTCTTTTATTTAATCGTTCAAACAAAATATTTTCTATTTAGTATAAAAATTAAATTTGTAAACTCAATGGTCCTTAAAATTAAATCAAACTAAATTATATTTAAGATGAATTTTTAAAGCCTAATTTTATACATTTAATATTTTCAACAGCAGCCTTTACCTGTTGCTCTTTCTTTCCTTTTTACTTTTTTTTTTTAATCTTTTATTTATTTTAATAAATCAATTTTTTCTATAACATATTTGACTTTTTCTTTTATTTTTATTATTGTTACTTTATCTATATATTTTTTATTCATTCTTTATAAGGGTAATCCCTTGTTTGTGACGGTTTATTGTTATATAAAATATGATATTTGACTTCAGTTAATTGAAGACTTTATATCTTGATTTGAAGTGTGGATCCTCGCAATATATTTCTCTATTGACGCTATTGATGTATAGTAGCGAAACAGATATTCCTCTATTGACACTATCGATGCATAATAGTAGAAACTTATCTGTATTCGTCACATGGTAAATTCTTAGAAAAAGAAAAGTAATCCAGATATATAAGTTCCAGAAATTACTATTTTGTCATCCAAATTAATTAACAAATTAATTATTACTAAGAAAATTTACATCTTTTATCAAGATCAACTTAATATTATATTTTTTAATTTCTTTTCGTTAAAAAATCAACGAATCATATTAGCTACTAATATTAAAATTTTATGTCTAATTTATATAAATATTTATAATTTTTATTATTATTATTAATGGATTACATTTTAAAAAAAAAAGCCTAATTTTATAATTGAATATTTTCAATAGAATAAGGGTAAAACTATTCATTGAAGAATAAATATTTCATAATACATCACCAAATTACTAATTGAATGCTACAATTTTTAAAATTAAATTTTTTGGAAGATAAACAATAAGATAAATCCGCTTAATTACAAATAGATAGAAGAGTTTTAAAATAAATTCAAGAGAATTTTCCTTAAAAAATAAACAAATAAAAAATTATAATTTATCCAACTCCTCCACTGCAGATCCCCGTTAGCGAAACCGGAAATCTACAGAGAATCCCAGCCGTCGATGCTCCATCATCAATCTCAGCGTCAGCAGGGGGCAAAACCCTTCCGGAGGCAAACAACACCCGTCCATCAACTCCATTCCTCGGCTGCGCCACCATCACACCCTCAAGCTCCGCCGCTGCATTACTATACAACGCTGCATCCCCAAATCTCCGTTCAACTTCAAGAAACTCTCCAAGCGAAGCCGGTTTAGCTCCACCATCACTACAAAGCCTCCACCATCTTCGCCGCCGAAGAAGCTCCACCGGAGCTCTTCTATTTCTCTTGGTCTTGATTTCCCGATTATTAACGACAGGTGACGATGCAGCATCAGTCGCGTCAGTGTCACGCGGCTGAGAAGCAGCTCTGAAAGTAATGGCAGTAAAAGTGACGCCCATTAGAGTACCTAAAGTGGTGCTTCTATCATGAAAGAAAGATCCTGTGGACTGCATCAAAACCAGAAATTAAAACATAAATCAAGTGAAAAAATAATTTCTAATAATAGCTACCTCAGTGTCGAGATCGGAGGAGGAAATGGAGGAGTTGGTCGGAGAAGACGGTGGCGGTAGCATGTCGTTTGTCGGATCTAACATCTCTCCTCTGTTGTTTCGAGCAGAGAGGCCAGACAGAAAAGAAAGTGAGGGATAAGGAATTCTAATTTGGGTACTGTTCTTGAAAAGCTTATTGAACTAACATGTTAACTTGTTATGTGTAAGTTAAATTATTATATATTTCAATTGTTGCATTAATCACACCAATTGTTATTCAAACTAAAATTTCATACTCAGAGTTATAAAAAATTTTATTCACAATTCAAATATAATAAATAAAATTTATATTATCATTACTTTTTTTATTAGTTAAATATGAAACAATAAGAAAAAGAAAACTTAGACACCTAAGTTATGAATATTAACGCTGTGGTTACACACCAAATTCAATTTTGGTGGATCATTCATCTTTCACATAAGTGAGAATACCGATCAGACCACGTATAATTAATTTTAAATAATTATTTTTAAATAATGCAATAAGTATTTTATAAATTAAACATATTTTATAAATTAAATAATAGTCGACTGTGAAGTAAGAATTGTCGGGCAGCCCTAATTCAGGTTGAATTTAATCACTTAATAGCTCAAATAGGAGTTGAACTAAGAATTCTTTGACAATTTGAGTTTGGCCAAACTGACGTGACATTTTTTTATTACTGATTGTTAATAGGTATAGTGTTGGAGTTATATGTTATTTAGAGAAAATATTTATTTAATCTCTGAAATATGACAAAATTAATCATCTTACCTATGCATTTTGGTCAAATAATTATTACATCCTTGAAATTTGTTTCTCTGAGACTATTTATTCCTTCTATACAAAAAATACACATTTTGTCTGTCATTTTTTCATAAAACATCAAATTACTCTAAATCCTCTCTCTCCCCATTTAAGAAACCTGCCGCTGCTTATGAAATTTTAATTGCTAAAATTTAAATATCTTTAATTCACTTTTCAAATTTCAAAACTACATTATTCATCAAAACAAAGATATAATCGATCACTTTTTTCTCTTCTCAATTCACTAAAAAAAATAGCAAATACAAATCAAAATTATGCAAAAAAAAAGCATCAAAGTTAATATATATCTCTTCTCTGAGACTATTGTTATTCACACGCTTTGCTAAATACTTACAGAAAAACAATACATTTCATTTTTGGTCTGTTCATTTTTTCATAAAACATCAAATACTAACGTACTTCCTAAAATGCCTCTATCGCTTTCGCCATGGTTATTAGCAACCTGCCTGCTGCTTATGGAAATTTTTATTGCTAAAATTTAAAAAATATCTTTTAAATTCACTTTTCAAATTTCAAAAACTACATTATTCATGCAAAACCAAAGATATAATCGATCAACTTTTTTTGCTTTCTTCTCAATTACTAAAAAATAGCAAATACAGAAAATCAAAATAAATGCAAAAAAAAAGTCATCAAAAGTTAATATATATATATATTATAATATATAATATATATATATATCTTAATTGAAAATCAAATTCTCGAAGGCTAGATATATATCTTAATTGAAAATCAATTCTCGAAGCTAGATCCATAACCTAGCAAATAATAGAGCCTATAAGTGAAAATGAAAAATTACAAATATTTGAAGAAATGAATTCTGTTACTAATTCAAAAATTAAACGTAGAAAAGAGAAAAAACAGAAAGAGGCAATTAAGATCCAAAGAAACTAAACCGCAAGTAAAATAAGTTTTTCATTTTTCTGAATGTTGTTCATAGTTGATCGGATGTTTTCATTCCTTGTCGCATAAAAGAAACGAGATTAACGCTACGCTCGACAACAATGTTTAGAGTTGTGTTCAGTCAAATCACTGTCTTAATTAATTATAGTATTCAGTAATATAATATCTATCCTAGCATTTAGAGTTTAAGTCAGTGTTTCATGAAATATTATATTCCTTAACGTTTAACATTACATATTATACATATCACTTGTCTTTACCTTGTCTTCACCGCATATCTTTTTTGTCATTTGATCTTAAACAACTAATCAAATAGTTGTTCTTACCAAATAATTTTATTTTAAACTGCTATATAAACAATTAACCACTAACAGTTAAAGCGTCTGTTTGGCAACATTAATTATTTTAATAGTTGTTAACTATTTTAATAACATTTAGTTGTTAACTGTTTGAGTAGTTTCATGAAACACTAAAAATTAAATGTTATATGAATTAACTTTTTATTTAACATTTAAAAATTAGTTCAAATATTATGTTATCAAACACTGTAAAAAATAATGTTTAGTGTTTTGACCGAAATGTATTCCAAAAACTGTTGTTAAACATAATCAAAATCTAGTAGCTAATAACTAGTAAAACAACTCACACGTTATAATTAAGCTACTAGAATAGTTAAGATGAGCAAACAATGACTAAGAAGATGGTAGTAGGAACAGAATTGTACAAATACTGGATTAAGAAAATGGCGGGAAACATGGCCCTACCACATTCTAAAGTAAATTTCTTTTTTGTGGCTCCCAATTCTCCACCTTTAATTATAAATTTATAATTGTCCTTGCTAATAGGTGAGGTGTCATCCAATAATATATTAAATTTATTGCTTTTGTGTACACATGTCATGCTCCATCGCTCTTCAAAACTCAAGGAAAGTTTTCATTAGGACATGATAAAAAATCCATAAAAATGTCAATAACTTACCATAGTGAACATAATATAATTGGTGTCTCTAAAACTAATTCACAATTTTACCTTTTGAAAATGTTAATTCACAATTTTAACCTCAATACTCAGATACTATCATCTATCTATATATATATATTATATAAAAATAGTGAAGCCTATCTTAAATGATGGCTAAATGTAAATCTCTCAAATTGTCAAGTGTAAGTAGAGCAGTTATTTAACATAATTGTAAGAAGATAAGTTATAAAGACAACAATTATAAGAAGACAAGTTATTTTATTTTCAGATAATATCATATATAAGGAAAAAAAAATAAAGCTAAACTAATTTTAATAAGCAAAAACTACTTTATTTGGAAATAAGAAAAGAATATAAGGGAAAAGAATTCCGATAATTTTTTTCATCAAATTAGAAGGAAAATAAAAACTATAAAAATAAATTTATAGAGAAAAATTAATTTTATTTTTCTTTATAAGGGAAAAGATTCCGATAATTTTTTTTCATCAACTATAGAAAGGAAAATAAAAACTATAAAACATAAATTTTTCATCAAATTAGAAGGAAAATAAAAACTATAAAAATAAATTTATAGAGAAAAATTAATTTTATTTTTCTTTTATATAAAAAAAGTAACATAAGATTTTTCCAAAAAAAATTTAGTTTCTTAAAAATGTCAGTATTTAATGAATTAGCCAAGCCTAAATTTGTTTGTTCCCTGGTTATGGATTTTTAATCTAATAAACTCTCTCTCTCCAATTTAGAGTTACGCTTTGATGAAAATTGATCATTGGAAGATTAACTTCTAATCCCAACTCTTTACTCTCTGCGTTTTCTTTCCTCAATTAATTTTATTTTTCTTTTATATTAAAAAAAAAGTAACATAAATTTTTTTCAAAAAAAAATTTAAATCCTTTTTTTTATCATTCATCAATAAAAAAAAGACAAAAAAAATTTTAAAAAAATCCTCATTTTTTCTTGGTAATAAAAAAAACATTAATTGATTAATTTGGTGTATGGAATAGTCTCATATACCATGAGTTAGATTGCAAGAACATGAGACACGAGATACGGGAATGTACATGATACGATAATTTTTTAAAAAGGAGAACATTTACACGTTTAGAACACACTATACTAAATAAGTAGAATACATTAATATTTCAAAAATAATTTAATTTCTTATTTTTATTTAATTAAATTCTTAAAATTATTATCACTATTGAAATCCATTAATAGTGTGTGTACATTTTTTATGTATGTTATACTAGGAATGTCAAAATGGGTCATGACATGTGAATACGATTTGCCTGACCCACTAGGGTTGAGGTTAAACGGGTTCATGTCATAAACGAGTCACCCATTTATGACATGAATATAAACATGTGTCGCGGATAGACACGCGAGTTAGGAGAGCTACCCGTTTATTTAAGAGTAAAGAGGTAATTTTAGTATTAGATATAAATACTCCAACTAAAACCTATTTAAATTTTATTGTTATATTGCTTTTTTATTTTAGTTATGAATATTGAAGAATTTATACATTTTATGTATGAAAATTTATTTTTAAATATGATTGCAATTAAATAAGTTAAAATTCAAAAATATTACACTAAAAAAAATGGAGATCTGCGATCGACTTGAATTTAAGAAATCGATCGCCAAATCTATTCAGCGACCGAGTTGTGACGGCTAGCAATCGGTCGCAAAAGTACTCGTCGCAAATTCTTTTTTGACCGAACAACTTAGTGGTTGCAAATTAACGGTCGCTAATTTGCGTCGTGTTTTCCAGTTAAAAGCTTATTGCAAAGTGGTTGCAAAACTTGCCGGTTGCTAATCGGCCGCAAAATTTAAAAGTAATTGGTTTGTGATCGGTCCAAATTTGAATTTAGTGGTTATATTGCGGTCGCAGGTCAGTTGTACATTGGTCGCAAATTTGATTAAAAAAAAAAAAATTTAAAAATTACAATTTTTTCCACTTGTTAAAAATAGACATATATATATCACAAGCATCATCATCAACATAAGTATGGAATAAAAATCCAAAAAGAAACTGTAAATGTAATATACTATACAAAATATGAAAAAAAAAATCACAAATAGCAAAAATGGTCTAAAATCAAATCTACAATATTAGTCCTCTAGACGATCTAGTGTAGTGCCTGCATGAGAAGATGGTGGCTGATGCAGAGTAGAAACAGGAAGATGTAGACATCAGAAGTTCTGCAAGCTGTCTCAACACGAGACCATAATACACTAGTGTCTCCAGGAGAAGATGGTGGTTGATGCAGAGTAGAAACAGGAGGATGTAGACATTCGCATCACATGCGCTCTAAGTTCTTAGAGCTATCTCAACACGAGACTGTAATACACTAATCTTCTCATCACTGTGGTCGTGAGGAAGCAACAAGAGACTTGATGTCATATACTTCTTAATATAGTGCTAACTCATCACTTCTCGGCTCAGCAGGCTCGCGAGCTT